AAATGAAGATCATACAAAGCACGTCAATTACTACTACTAAAAAGAAGAGATTATAGAATCTAATATTCTTTTTGGGGGGGGGGCTAGGCAATGGGGTTAAGTGACTTGCCCAGGGTCACACAGCTAGTAAGTGTTATGTGTCTGAGGTCGGATTTGAACTCAGGTCCTCCTAAATCCAGGATCGGTGCTCTATCCACTACGCCATCTAGCTGCCCTTAGAATCTAATATTTCAAAAGGCAAAAAATATTTCAAAAGGCAAAAACACAAAAGTCAAGAGAAAGAGAGAAAAGGTAAATTTATTTGAGTAACTAAAAGGAGTTGTATGATGATGGAATAACGTTCTATAAAAGAGATAAAACAATTTATCATTTTAGAACCTTAATGTCTTCAAATAGGCAACTGGTGATTCAAGAAGGAAGCTCAGGGGAGAGACTAGGGATGGATATGTAGTTCTGGTAGTCATCTGCATAGACCTATACTTAAATCCATGAAAGTTGATGAGGTTACTGAGATAGGAAAGAGGGAGACCTCTGACTACTCCCAGGTTAGGGTTTGTCCTTCATTCTTGAAGAGGAGCATGACATCAGGAAGATGATGCCATGACTTGCAAGTAAATTAGATTTAAGTGAGGGAGGGCTGCAAAAAGTCACCAGCCTCACTTTCTCCTCCAGAGCCATCTGGGTCCAGTGGCCAGATATAGATCAGGACAACTGGAGATGGCCCAGGGTGCAGTGGGAGACCATGGCCTTTATAAGCTAAAGTCTTTCCCAGTTCTCACTTGGACTGAGGCAGAACTGTTTAAGAAATGAGTCAAAGGAAGGTCCCTTTAATTAAAAACCAACAGTCAAACTGGGAGGGGAAGACCCTCAGAGTTCCTGGTCAAAAGACAAACAATTACTACTTATTTACATTTACTCTGAGTATCAGGACCCAAACTATAACCATTAAGTGGTGCTTGGATAGGGACCTATGGTTGGCCAATCAATGATGAATGTAGAGTTATTAAGGCTAGTAAGTACTGGTTCCAGGTAACTAAGAGATGCTTAATACCCTGAGAAAACTTCACCTGAAGGCCAAAGCCCCAGGATGTGATAACTCAAACTAATTTCTTAATTACAAACTCCCACTTAGTCATAACCTCTCCATCGCAGGGATTCTGAACTCCTGGCAATCATGATTCAAACTCCATTCTGCATCCCCTACAATCCAACCTTCCCACAATGTCCCACTTTAAAGCTACCTGTTCCCCGACACTAAGTTCCCTAAAACATCTGTTCCATAGAGAACAAACAATCTCACCTTGAATTGTAAGCTTTCCAATTACAATAAAGGTTATCACTATCCTTCTAGTCACCTAGTTCTCACCTTGGTGCAGACTCTCATCCTCTCACACGTGAATTATTCTAATAGCTTTCTAACTGTCTCCTTGACTAATTTTCTCCCCACACTAGTCTATCCTCCACTCAGCTATCAAACTGATCTTCCTAAAGTGAAGGTCTTACCATGTGACCCACTCAATTCCCTATCATCTATAGAATCAAATATAAAATCGATTTTCAATCAAAGCCCTTAATAATCTGCCCCTCCCCCTAACTTTTCCAGCCTTCCTAAATCTTACTTAGTTCCAGTCCTCTTAAACCTTACTCTGTAATCCAGTGATGCAGGCTCCCTTGCTGTACCTCCCATAAAACACTGTCTCCTGACTCCAAGCACATTCACTGTATGTCCCCCATGAATGGAATGTTCTCCCTTGTTATGTCTTCCTTCTTGCTCTCCTGGCTTCCTTCAAGTCCCAGTTAAAATCTCACCTTCGACAAAAAGCTTTTCTGGATCCAATTTAAAGCTAGAACCTTCCCACTAGTGATGATTTCCGATTTATCTCATAAATAATGTGTTTCTACATCAGACCTTCACAACTTGGCAGTAGGTAGGGGCCAAAAATAAAACAGGCTAAATTTTCTTGGGCAGCAGATAGGTTTTTAGTGGCTCACTTTCCAAATAAAGGTATAATTAATGATTTAAACTATTAAATTTCAATACATATCAACTAATTACACTTATTACTTAAGATTTTTATTCATCATGAAATCACATTAATGTTAAAAAATTACTTTGCCAAATATTAAAAGTTTTAATACATTTTTTCAGGTTTTCTTACTGTTTACATTTAGCTAACGGGACATATTACAGTTCTCGTCAGCAATCAGTTTATTGTACTCGGAATCATGTTTGAAATCTATTTCTTAGTAGCCACCTCATTTTCTGAGTTTACTTTTCTGGAAAACCATTATTCCCCACTGAAATTTTTCAACAATTTTGATGCTTTAATTTGTTTTTCATTGGTGCTCAATTTACTTAAGTCAGGATGTTGTGATTGAAAATGGCAACGAAAATTGTATTCCTTAGAACACCTATTAATTCTTGGCAAACAAGGCACAATATTTTGTCTCCTGTGCATGTAAACAAGTATCTATTTGTCCACTCAGGATTAGATGCTCTGTATTCTGATTTAATCTTCCATTTCTTTTTATCACCCATTTTACAAAGTCACCCCAAAAACTTTAATGTTAGAACCAAAAAAAATCTCCATAGGAACTGCTCACATACAAAGAAATACTGAACTGAGTGTCTGACATTGGAGAGAGCGCCACACACTCACGTAACTTGGAGGGTGGCCGTGCAGCAAGGGAGGGAAGAAGTCCTCAAATTATTGCCTCTCATTGCATAGCGGGTGTCAGCTGCACTGCAGTATAGCTGCACTCACTTTGTCCCTGTTCAACGATAGTTAACGACCAAAAACAGAGCAAAAACATACGACTCTGGTAGCTCTCAGCCTAGAGACAGACCTGTTGCCACAGGTCATGTGACAAACAGGAGAGAATGTGCCATGGCAACCCCTGTCAAGTTACATGATGGGCACAACAGTGCCTACTGGAAGATGGGTTAAGTTGGGCATGGACAAAGCACTTGTTATATCTTTATTTTCTGTTATATCTCCTACATTTTTCACAGGCCGCCCAAAATCCTTTGGCGGGCCTGAAGCAGCCTGCAGGCCATATGTTGTGCGGGTCCATTCTAAGTAATTACTTGCATGTTATCTCCTCCACTGGACTATAAATTCTTTCAGAACAGAGACTGTCTTTTGCCTTCCTTTGTATTCCCAGGGTTTAGCCCAATGCCTGGCACACAGTTGGTAAGTTGTTGTCCTTCATGCTCAAAGAGGACCAAAATGACATCACGACATCAAGGGTCAAGTTACAGTGTAACCAACTGTGGTTCATCAGACCAATATGAGCTTAGAAGCCTCTACCACTGGTTGGGCACAAGTAATCCATATGAACATTTGGAGTGGAGATGTCTCTAAATTTATGCATCTCAGGTTTCTTTTGTGCTACAATAATTCTCCTTTGCTCATAGAGCACCATGCCTTCTTTGGTGCAGGAATACCACACAGGATAGTCCTATGCCAGTGTCTCCTGTGTCCCACAATCAATTCCAAAGTTCTTCAGAAACCTTGAAAGTGTTCTTCCTCTGACCTCTGGGTGAGCACTTCCCTTGTGTGAGTTCTCTGTAAAATAGTCTTTTAGGCAAAATTACATTTGGCATTTAAATGTGGCCAGTCCAATGGAATTGTGCTCTCTACAACAGAGTATGAATTCTTGACAGTTAAGCTTGAGAATGGACCTAGGTGTCCAGTACCTTATCTTTCCAGGTTAACAAAGGCTTTCTAACTAAATAAACTTCAGAATGAGTCTCCATTTAAGTGTCCTAGAGTTCAGTGCCTAGCCTAGGGCTTATAATTAACATTTTTATCAATGACATGAATGAGCACACAGATAGTTAGCTAATCAAATGGGCTTCAAAGAAACTTAGGCTTCATTAAGAAAGGCAGTGTTATCTATGACTACAGAGGCAATAGTCTGTGAGACAAAATATCTCAAATAGTACTAGGTTTACCCTCAATTAAAGTTTTCAAGTAAAAGCTGGCTAACTACTTGTTGAGTAAATTATAGGGGGGAGTTCTAGTTCAGCTAATCATTGACCTAGATGGCTTTTGAGGTCTCTTAACAAAGACTGGGTTATTGTACCATTTAAACATAAATTCTGTAGTCTTTAAGGGTCAGCTCAAATTAAATCTCCTCAGTGAAGAATTTTCCAATTGCTGTAGCATACATTTATTACTCACATCTTTGAACTCTGAGAACACTTACAGTTAGTACCAGAGAATTTAATACGTAAGAATACTCTAATTTCACTTGTGTTCATATTTTATGTTTTCACTTCTTCCTCTCCCATAGCTCCTAGCATAATATTAAACAAATAACAGGTACCCAGTAAGAATTACTGATTAACTGATTTGTGTTTTTGATCATACCTGTAATTTTATGAAGTGTAGCAATATGCCTATGAAGAACTTCCCCTACCAATATGGATCACCACGTTCTTTGTAACATATGTGTCAGAGGCAAGACCTAAGGATGGGTCTTCTTAACACTAAGATCTGTTTTCTATCCACTACAGTATGCTACCTGATAACAAAAAAATTATAATTATGTATCTATAATGATGAAATGGTAAATAATTATCACCATGGCACAATGGATACTGGATTTAGGTCATGTCAAGTTACTATAATGGCTACTTCTCTGTACAAATAGGTAAGAAGTTAGGGAATGGGATAAGAATAAATCTGATTTCACTGTCGTAGAGAACCCACATGTGAGGAAACTTCCTCTTCTAATGCAAGTCAGCACTTTCTCTGCAACTTAGATACTTACAGCTTTGTACATAGCACCAAAAGTTAAAAGATTCAAGGGTTCACAGAGAGAGGGTGAGAGTTTGGAGTTGGGAACTGAAGCCAGGTCCTCTTGAACTTAGGTCTGCATGTCTTAGAGGTCAGTTTTTTATCTGCTATGCTATGATGGCTATCTATAAAAACACACAAGATGAGATTCTCAAGGGGAAAAAAAAAGCAAAATGTAACATTTAGAAGACTTACAGAGGCAGCTCTTCTGCAGTTAACATCACGATCAAACACTGTAACAATTACCAAAGCACTGGGGAGAGAAAAAAAATCCATTATTCTAAAATAAATTTACAAAACACAAAGTATTTAACCAGAGTATATAGGAACTGGGGTATTTTTCCTTTGATCAAAAATATTAATTTACTAAGTACCAAATATGTGCAAGGCACTACACAGTGTGTTGTGGGGGAGCAATGAAGAGGCAGACATTCTCAAAGGAGAGATAAATACTTAATGATTGATTAATGCAAATATACAAATAACCATATGATAAGTATCACATGGGTGTCAGAGTCAACAGTCAACTATTAGCTCAAAGGAGAGAGAAAGATGACTTCCAGTATGATCAGAGGTTTCACTGAGGAGGTGACAACTAAGCTAAACTAGCAGAAATATAGGACATTGCCAGGAGAGGTGATGGCATATGTCAGAGTTATGAAAGCATAGGATATACTCTAAGGATAATCACACAGCCAGTTTGTCTAGAGAAAAAGATATATATAGTAACATTGGGTAGTTGGTAGGTACAAATTTTTTCCTTGGAGGTTTATAGAAGGGTTAGGATTTAAAATTTCACATATCAGGAAATAACTTTTGTAAATTTAACAAAATTTATATAGTAATATATGGACACAGAAATCTGAGAGGAAATCATCTTTCAAACACAAGGGCAAGTGGGCTTTTCTGGAATTTGTACCAATAAGGAGTTCAAAGACATTCAAAATCAATATCCACAGACATATTTTGAAGAAAGTGTTTTATCTTATCAATCATCTTCATTTATATCTATTTATGCATATATATGTACTTCATATATATATACACATACATCAATATTTTACACTCCAACAGAGCTCACCAATATTTTCTGAAAGCAAAGTAGCAAATTCCTCATGTACATAAGCTTTTATTTACTCTTGTTTTATATGCTTCTTAAACCTTCAAGTGGTTACATATTTGTAATAAACAATTTTTAAATGTTGCATTATAATACTTTAGTATTAATAGAATGGTAAATTTTTATTACTTTACTCAAACACTTATCAAATGCATAGTATAATCAAGCACCTCACTAAAAGCCAGAGATACAGATCTTGCTCTCAAAAAGTTCAACATCTGGTTAAAAAAAAAAAGATATATGGACAAATACCGATGACACAAAAAGGATGTATAAGAAAAAAATTCCTATCAATTAGTGTTTTCCACAAGTGGAAAAATCAAGCAAAAGCTAGATATGAAACTAAATAATCTGTGAGACCCCTTCAAAATCTGAGAAGCTCTGACTGTGAGATAAGAAGAATACGCATGTATCACATGCCTACTATGTATTACCACCTTCTAACAACCACTTACTTAACATTTTAAATACCTACTGTGTGCCAGATATGAGCACCAAGAATACAAAGGAACATAAAAACAGTCCTTATTCTCCAAGAACTCATAGTGATAGAGGAAACAAAATGCAAACAACTATGTACAAACAAGCTATATATATGGCAAACTGGAAATAAACAACATAGGGAAGATACTAGAAGTGAGAAGTACCAGGAAAGGTTTCCTATAGAATGTAGGATTTTAGGTGGGACTTGAAAAAAGGCACAGTCATAGGATTTAGAGGTTGTGAAGGAAAACATTCTATGCATGGGATATAACTGGTAAAAACGCAGAGTGTCTTGTTTGAGAACAACAAAAAAGCCAGTGTCACTGGATCACAGTATTCATGATAGGGTTTAAATTATAGGAAGATTGAAAGGGAAGGTGAGGGGGAGGGGGGCATGCTAGAGTCAGGAATGAGGGGCTCTGCTTGTCAAAGAAAGGATTTTATCTTTGATCTTGGAAATGATAGAAAGCCACTGAAGTTTACTGAGTAGGGAGGTGACATCGTCTAAGACCAGTTTGACAAGAAAAAAAAAAGATGAACTGGAGTGAGGAAAGACTTCTGGCAGTGAGACCAAGAAGCAAACTACAGCAACATTCCAGCTGAGACAGACTGGATGGTTAAGAGAGTGAGAGAAAAAGAAGTGGAAGTATTTACTGTAGATGGCTTTCTCAAGGAGTTTAGCCACAAAATGCTGAAGAGATATGAAACAAAAGTTATAAAGTATGGATGGATCAAGTGAGAGTTTTTGAGAATGAAGAGAAAAGGGCATGTTTGTATGCAGTAGGGAAGTAGCCAGTAGACAGACAGAGACTGAATATAAGTGAGAGAGAGGATATGAAAGGAGGCAAATTGCTAGAGGAAATGGAATAGAAAGCCATCTCTTCAAGTGAGACAAGATTGAAGCTAGAAATAGTAACAGAAGGCATCTGTCAATCAGGCAATAAACAATGTATTAAGCACCTACTATAGTTCAAAGCACTGGGGATACAAAAAGGAGCAAACTGACAGTCCCTGCCTTCAGAGAGTTCACAATCTAATGGAGGAGACAAAAAAAAATACACAAACAGGTACAAAAAAAGATACAAACAAGAAAAAGGGGAAATAATTAATGCAGAGAAGGCACTAGAATTAAGAGTTGAGAAAAGCTTCCTCTGAGACAGAGATGAGGAGAGAGCATTCCAGACATGGAAGATAGTCAATGGAAATGCCGAGAGCCAAGAAACAGACTGTCTTGTTTGTAGAATAGCAAGAAGGGTCGTATCACTAGATTATGTCATGGGGAATAAGATGTAAGAAGATTAGAAAAATAGAAGGGGGCTGGGTTACAAAGGGCTTTTAATGTCAGAGGATTTCATATTTGGTACTGCAAGATATAGACAGCCATTGGAGTTTATGGAGTAGGGGGTCACACGAACATTTAGTTCGTTCAGGCACAGTTTGGTGCCTGAATGGAGGATGTTTTCGAGTGGGGAGAGCCTTGAAGCAAGGAGACCCACCAGCATACTACTGCAAAACTCAACCAATCAATCAATCAGTAAAGACATATTAAGCGTCTATTTATGTGCCAGACACAATGCTAAGCACCAAGGATAGAAAAAGAGACAAAAGACAATTCCTGCTTTCAGGCAGTTTACAACCTAAGTGGGGGAGACAACAGGTAAACAAATATTTACCAAACAAGCTATTTGCAGAACAAATAGGAAATCCAGCTCAGACACTTGACACTTAATAGCTGTGTGACCCTGGACAAGTCACTTAACCCCAACTATTTCACCAATAAATAAATAAATGAATGAATGAATATAAATAAACAAGTAAATGAACAAATAAATAAATGAATGAATGAATGAATAAAATAAATAGGAAATAATTAACAGAGAAAAGGCACTGGAATTAAGATGGATTGAGGAAGGCTTCGTATAGAAGGTGGGATTTTAGCTGGGACTTAGAGGAAGTCAGAGAGGTCAGTAGTTGGAGCAGAGGAGGGAGTGTTTCAAGCATGAGGGACAGCCAAGAAAGAATGTCTGAAGCCAAGGTATACGTTGTTCATGGAACAGTCAGTAGGCCAATGTTATTGGACTTAAGAACATGTCGTGGGGAATAAGTTGTAAAAAGTCTGGAAAGGTAGAAAGAGAGTAGGTTATGAAGGGCTTTGAAAGCCAAATGAAGTATTTGATCTTGGAGGCAATAGAAAGTCAATTTTAATGAATAGTAGGATGTCATAACTGGACCTGGCTTTAGTTTTTAGATTTTAGGAAAATCACTTTAGTGGTTGAATAGCATATGCATTGGAGTGGAGAGAGACTTGAGCCCAGAAGGCTTCTTTTAATAATTCAGGCATGAGGTGAGGCCTGCACTAGAATAGTGGCAGTGTCAGAAGAGAGAAGGGGACATATTTGAGAGATGTTGCAAAGGTCTTGGTAAGAGACTGGATATGGGAGGTAAGAGATGGTAAGGAATCCAGGATGACTCTTAGGTTATGAGGCTCAAGGACTGGGCAGATGGTGTTACTGTCTACAGTAACAGGAAGTTGGGAGAAAAGGATTATTGGGAGGACGGGGAAGATAATGAGTTCCATTTTGGATATGTTGAATTTAAAATGTCTACAGGACAGTTTGAGATGTCTGAAAGGCAACTGCAGATGGAAAACTGGAGATCAGCAAAGAACTTGGGACAGCACAGCTGGATTTGAGAATTGTCAGTATTGGGATAGTACTTAAAACCATGGAAACTGATGAGCTCATCAAGTGAAAAAGTAAATAGGGAAGATGGTACAGAACAGAACCCTGGGGAAAATCTATAGTTAGAGCGTATGGTCTGCACAACGATTCAGTTAGGGAGACTTGCAGAGAGAGAGTAGACAGATGGAGAACCAAGAGAGTCACATCCTGAAAACCTACAGAGAAAAGACTATCAGGAAAAAGATGATCAAGCGTCAAAGACTGAAGAGAAGTCAAAGAGAATGAGGATAAAGAAAAAGTCAATAGATTTAGCAATTAAGAGATCATTGTTAACTTTAAAGACAACAGTTTTGGTGGAATGGTGATTTCAGAACATGGATTTTAAGGGGTTAAGAAAAGATCGAGAGGAAGCTGGAGGCACCTAATGCAGATGAACTTTTTGAAGAGTTTTGAGACAAGGTGGAATAGTTAGCAGGGATGAAAAGATCAAGTGAGGGTATTTTGAGGACAAAGAAGAAATGGGCATGTTTGTAAGCAGTTGGGAAAGAGTCAGTAGACAAGGAGAGATTGAAGATAAGTGACAGAATAGGGATGATGGAGCAATCTGTTAGACAAGACTAAATGGGATCACTTGATCAGTTCGAAGTATTAGCCTTGGTAAAGAGTAAGATCACCTCATCATGTGAGACAGGGGTAAAGGAGGTTATAGTGGCAGAAAGCATATGAGTAACACGAGATGGGGAAGAAGGAGCTCAAGGTGAATGGTTTTGATTTGTTTTTTTCAAAATTTGAACTTCTCAGCTGAGAAGGTGGGGGAATGAGAGCCATGGGAGGGATGAGGAGAGATGAAAAGGTTTGGAAGAGCTGTCATGGAGAGTGGGAGAGTAAGCTGATGAAGGAGGTGTAGTAAGATTGCCTAGCAAGAGTGAGGACCCAGCTGAGATTACATAACATAAATCTGAAGTGGAT